GTAAACAACCTCTGGTCTATCAACTTTGGGTGAAATTGAGTAACTTGCAGGATCGACCATACAAATCCTAGGACATGTGCTAAGTTTAAAAGAAAATCTAAATTAAACTCCACGTTCGACTATGTTCTAAAGGAACTCCACGTTCGACTATAAAAACTTTGTAAAGTAAAAAATAACTTGGAAATTGACAAGGCTGTAAAATAAAGGGTGAAATTCTTAAAGCATCGAAAGTAAAAGGCAAGATGTAAAAATCTTTGAAAATAAAGGCGATGATGTAAAAAGCTTTGGAAATAAAGGCAATGATATAAAGGCTTTGGAAATAACGACAATGAGGTAAATGCTTGAATTTGATAAAAGTGCAAGAAAGTGAGTGTGTAAGACGTCAAAAGTAAAAGCAATAATGTAAAAGCTTTGAACTTGATAAAAGTGCAGGAAAATAAGGGTGAAGACAAATATTTAGAAAAATGCAGGAAAGTAACAGTCGAAATCAATTAAAAAGACATTTAAATAGCAAGTTAAAATAAAGTGCAGAAGAAAATCAACTGAAAGTAAAGATTAAAATAAAGTTTCAAGGAAGAACATGTAAATACGAAAGATAAAGTTCAGGAAAGGCATTTAAACATGAAAGCTAAAGTTTAAAGAAGAACATGCAAGATAAAGTGCAGAATAAACAAAAACATACAAATGATAAAGATACATTAATTGCATTGATGGAAAGAAATGGTGTTTCATCACGTACATTCTCTCGACACTCGTTTCTCTACACGCGGGTACTTTGAGTGATTTGGAGTAACTTGTACACAAAAAATGAACACCCTTATTCTATGGAAATAACCCATATTTATAATACTAGAAAATAACTACTAAGTGACGGTTGTTGCTTCAAAACATGTCTTTTGGCGCTTTTCTTGACTTCAACTGTTCCCACATTCACCAACTGCTCTTTTGAAATTCAAATATTAGGAATTTTCCTCTAGCCTTAGTGGTAACTATAGCGCGCTTCTTTCAGCATTCTCATGATCGAAGGACTTTCCAACACTTAGCAATTTTTTCAAAAGTTTTCACAGCCTCTCTTTGACTAAGGCTTCACCAAAAACTGGGTCTAAGCCTTCTTATGCTTAAAAATGATTTTTGACTTGAGATGACTCTGATTTTGCTGACGTAAAAAATGAGAGCCAACAGTATTTCACTTAATGCTTCAAAATAAAGCTCAATTTCATGCATTGGGATGAATTTTTCTACTATGCAAAGAGATAGAATTTTGACAAATTTGGTACTATCTTGAAAATTTCATGGGATACTACAAGATTTATGTTGATCTTGTGCAGAGATACAACTTACAAAGTGATTAAAAGTGATCTAGAACTTGTGTGCCACAAGAATCTATCTTGAATTTAGCTTCATCAATGCCTCTTGCAAAAATCACAATTTCATGCTCAAGTAAGATAAATATTTGTTCTTTGACTCTTTGGAAATCTTGAAACATCCACTACAACTTTTATGTTGACCACTTTTCTTGATTCAATTGGGATCATGGTGAAAATGCCCATAAAGTCAGCTACTTGACATAGTCAGAACTTGTTGAAAAGGTTTCTAAGTGTCCTTGTTCAAAAAGCAGTGAATCCTCCACTTCATGGCCTCATATGTAACAATATCTTAAATTTGGTCTTTGGAGAAAAGAAAATGGTTGCTTGAGGAGGAAGTTATGAATTTGGGAATTAGGGTAAAAATCATGCAATTTCATGACTTAGAAAAAATTAAGAAATCCTAATTTTTTCAAATTATGATCGTTAGATGTTTTATTTGATATTATTTATTGATCATGATCCAATTCACATATTATCATGATATTTGACTTGAGGAGTCCATGTTTAACCAAAAGTCAAACTTTGACTTTGTGTACCAATTGACTTTGTATTAGATGAATTCAAATTTTCAATCTTCAAAGAATCAAACTTCTTGGGCAATTTAAATCATGTGAGCGGACTTCAAAGATGAATTTTAGGCCCTTTAATCATGTCTTGAAGAATAGGATCATCCTCAGATGAAAAAGTTAACTGTAAGCACTCTTAGAATAGGATCATGATGCACTCTTAGAATTTATTGTTGATAAAGGAAAACTCTTGATCTTTATGAATGAATGAGAGACTTGAGAATTTCAAGATCACACTAATATCTGACTAATCATTAGCTTGAGCATCTTGAGGCACAACCTTACTTGTAAAGCAAGCAAGCACATATTTTTCTATTTTCAATTGTTTAGTGATGCATAAAAACACACATATATGTAATGTTAAATAATATGCATATTATAAAAAATGAGATAGAATCTTAAGGGTAAGAATTAGGGTATGACAATATGGTCGATGATGAAGGTGAACTGGTACATTATGTTTTTTACGCAGATGTCAAACCAGTCAATGCAGATGAGGCATTGAAAGATTCTAAGTGGGTGAAAGTAATAAATGAGGAACTAGAGTCTATCAAAGTCAACAACACTTGGTCACTTGTCAAATTTCCTCAAGGAAAGAAGACTATCAAAGTGAAGTGGGTATACAAGGTGAAGTAGAATCCCAAAGGAGAGGTAGCTCGACACAAGGCAAGACTTGTAGCAAAAAAAATTCTTCAGAAGGAAGGAATCAACTTCGACAAAGTTTTTACACCTGTTGCTAGGATCAAAACAATAAGGTTGGTTGTTGGTCTAACAAACATGAACAATTGACACATATGTCAGATGGATGTGAATGCGCATTCCCGAATGGCCCCTTAGATATAAAAAGTTAATATCGCACAACCAGTCGAATTTATGAAACAAGGCGAAGAAATAAATGTGTATAGGCTACATAAAACCCTGTATCGACTTAAACAAGACCCAAGAGCTTGGAATAAGAAGATAGTTATAAGGGAGAAGGAATTTGTGAAGTTCACAACTGAGCATGGAGTATATGTAAGGAGAAGCAATAGTGAATTACTTATACTATGTCTCTATGTCGATGACCTGTTGATAACAGGAAGTTGCAAGAAGGAGATAAAAGACTTCAAACATGACCTAAGTGAAGAGTTTGAAATGTCAGACTTGAGAAATCTCTCATATTTCCTTGGCATCAAGTTCTACAAGGGTGGTAGAGGTTTGATGATGCACCAAAGAAGATATGTGGGCGAAATAATCAAGAGATTTGAGATGCAAGATTGCAACCCAACTTCGACTCCAACTGAGTCCATATTATAACTGTCGAAAGATTCAGATGAAGGTGATGTCAACTCAGCCCAATATATAAGACTTATTGGGTCATTAAGATACCTTTGTCACACGAGACTTGACTTAGCATATAGTGTAGATATGGTAAGTAGATTCATGCAGAAGACAAAGGTATCACACCTAGCAGCGACGAAAAGGATACTAAGGTATCTGAAAGGAACTCTCGACTAGGACATTTTATTTCCTGCAGTTGATGAAGGAAAAGAATACAAGTTAGTAGAATACACCAACTCAAGTTGGTGTAGTGATGTTGAGGATAGAAAATCCACAGATGGCTATGTGTTTATGGTAGGTGGTGCACCAGTTTCTTGGACTTTGAGAAAGGAGTCAGTAGTGGCATTGTCGTCGTGTGAAGCAAAATACATAGTTGCTTTTCTCTGTGCATGTCAAGCAAAGTGGATGGTGAACCTATTCGAAGAGATTACAGCGAAGAGTCATGGAGTAATTACCGTGAAGATCAGCATGTCAACTATCAACCTGGCGAAGAATTCGATAGCACATGGGCGAAACAAGCACATCAAAATGAGGTTTCATTATCTTCAAGAGCAGGTAGCAGAAGGGAAGATGGATTTGAAACACTGCAGAATTGAGAATCAAATTGCAGATATCATGATGAAAGGAGTGCAAGTGGACGTGTTCAAGAAGATAAGGTTTATGATGAATATAGATAGTTAAGACACAATGAATTAGGTGGTGTGTTGAGATTGTAATTCTTTGTGTCGAAGCAAGTGTAGCTCGACAGGAACAAGGATGTGTTGAAATTAGCCTAGTGTGTGTGTGTGTGTGTGTTGAGTTATGTTAGATGTTGAAGTGTCGAAGCAGGTTGCTTGACACTGAATTTCGACTTAGACCAAGATAGAAATTTTAGGATTTACCTTAGGGAACGAGGTAGCTCAATTATAAATAGAGGGAATAACCCCTATTTTAAGTAAGAAAAGAGAATAATATTGTAACACACAACAAAAAATGCAGTTGCACAGTTAAATAATATTTTCTCAGTTTGAAAGTAAAGAGTTGCTCTGCAGAAATTATCTACTCTTCTCCTATTTTGTCAAACCCTAATCTTCTTCTTTAATTACATTAATAATTGTTACGCATAATCATTCTTGCAATCAATGTGCAATTGTTTCATTTGAGTGGAGAGTGAAGAACAAAATATTTCAATCAATTAATTGAATTTTATTCATCAAGATTGATTTAAAATTCTCAAAATTTTAAATTAATTCAAACCATATCAACTATGTGAAAATGCTCCATGTCAATCTATTTTTTGCGCTTTTTGTTTTGTTTTGTATCGAATTCAAACAAAAAAGGTAGTGTTGAGTTTATTGCTCAATTACATGTCCTACTGAGATTTTCTTTCTTCTTCTCAAAAGATTAATAATTAAACAAAGAAATAACCATTAAAATAGAGTCATGTCATAGCAAATTTATCAATTTTTTAGTGAATTAAACCTTCAAACCACATCTTTGTCACTATTTAATGTCACACAAAATTACAACAAAAATAAATACCCTATTAACGAGAATGTGGGATAAAATGCCTTAATAATATAGCCCCTACATTAACACAATAAAACGGCCCATAAATTGATTTTGTAAAACCCCAAAATGTAGCTCATACTAATAACTCTAAAATCTTCATTAACTCACTTTGATTATAAAATAAGTACACTTCAAATCCAAACATTCACTTATGAACTTAAATTAAGATTTTACATGATTAAGAATAACTGTGGTCTTAGTGTCCATTGCTTACAAACCTCGCAGTAGCACCACAAGTAAGAGCTTGTGGAGGAACTCTCCCAATTTTCTGAACACCCTCAGCAAAAATAACACCCATTCCCATATGCAAATGAGGTTCAATATGACAATGAAACGCCCAAACACCAGGATTATCAGCCTTAAACCTTAACGCTGTCCAACCATATGGAAATATAACCGCAGTGTTCCTCAAAGGCGCGCGCGTCAAGTTAAACTTCTTCTCATCAACTCCGGGTTTGAATTTCCCTTCTCCATACCCCAAAACCCAAAAATCATGTCCATGCAAATGCCAAGGATGAATCTCACTACCATTCCCGTTTAACTGGTTTGCATTCTGTAGTATAACATCAACAACATCGTTTAACTGAAAAACATAAACACCGTTACCAGTAGTTGTGTTCGGGTTAACCGGATTCTTAAATATGTCGTAGTCGATCGGGTAAGTCCTTGGTGGCGGTTTTCTATCAAACGTGTTTTTTAGTTTAAACTTGAATGATCCTATGTAAGGTGTAACTGGTAATGCTAATGAAACATTGTTGATGGACCATTTAGTGAAATTACCGATCAAGTTTTGTGTGTTGAGGAGGAGAATTTTCTGGTTTGAATATTTTGGAGGCTGTGGTGTTCCCATTTTGGAAATGACTTGTTTTGTGAAGGCTTTGCTACGTTCGAAATCGTTCCATAATGGAGTTACTGGCGGAGGTGAAGTTGGGAAAACGGAGGCGGAGATTGTTTTGTAGTTCAGGATTGTTAGGGCTTGTGATGTGTTTGGTTTTCGTCCTCTGACGCCAATTGAGAGCCAGTAGTTTTTGTTTGGGTCTTGATCTGTTGTGAGAAGGACTGAATAGGTTTCGCCGGAGTAGATGTCGATGTCATTGACGGCGAATGGGTGCACGTAGTTTCCATCTGCTTCTACTACAATAAGTGTGTGATTCTGCAAGAAGAAAATTATAGGGTGATGTTAATTGATGACAACAGAGTGAAATAATATATGGTGAAATTAACTACATACTGTAACAAATTGTTGATGTTTTTTTCAAAGAAATTATTTGAGACTCCTAATACAAGCCCATTTGAGTTGAGAATTAAACTATTATTAACACTAATTTAATATCCCATGAATTAAACTATTATTAACACTAATTTAATATCCCAGGTGAGTTAGAATTAAACTATTATTAACACCAATCTAATATCCGGGATTTGCTCTTAATCCTACCCCACCTTCTAAGCGACAACAACAGATTCTTTTTCTATGTTTTCGGTTCAAAATTTATTCTTTTTTATTTGGTGGGAAGTAGGAACAACGAAATATCTAAGAAAAAGCTAATTATACGACAGCTACCTAATGTGTTAAATAATTAAGATGCGCATAATGAATGATAATAATGGCTTTCAAAAATACAAACACAGACAGATTAGAATACTACAAAAATAATATAAACGTTAAGAAGAAAGAAACACAAAGATAAATAAAAATGCAGATAGCTATAGAAATAATTAGAAAACTTACTGAAATGGCCAAGTTAAGTGAAGCTAATGACGTTGTGCTAGCAATCCTAATTCTGTAGGTTTTTTTTGGCTCCACATGAAGAATCTGAGGGGCACATTCTTCACCACCTTTGAAATTGCATTGGGGTAGGGAAGTGTTCACAAATTTAGCTGCTAGGGAGCAGTTAAACTGTCCTCGTCCATTGATGAGCAGTGACTGAAAATTGTGTGTCATACATAGGTTAGTAAACAAATTCACTTTTTGAAAGTTGCGCATGCAATTACAAATAAGAAAAAGACACTGTTGCTTTTGTTTTGGTGCTTATGTTATTTTATTTACCTCTTTTGAGTCAATATAAAGCTACCACAACGTGGCCAATTGTATGTTCACTCAAAAGAGTGAACATATTCCACTACTAAGTTATTTTTTTAATGTAGACAAAAAGAAAGTACTCTTTTAAATATTTGGTAGACTGTGATCCTTTATAAAAAAAATGACCCTACCAACAAAAAAATAAATAAACGAATACCCTTTTATTAAATAAATAATTTTTATAAAAAAATATGTACAATTACAAAACTTTTTTTATAAAGGATCTCAGCTCAGAACTCACATCTCAGAACTCACAGTGCGTTTTTTTTTTATAAAAAATGAAATGAAAATTTGATTTGAAACTAAAAAAAGAAAATGTGTTGATAATTAAATAATCAAAATTGATCTGATTGATTCCTTGTGAAGTTGAAGTCTTGTATCTTGGAATATGTGCATGAAAAAGAAAAATATAACAAGTGGGGTAGGGGATGGCTTCACAACAGAAAAAATCCAACAATAAATCTAACAATACTTGAAGAAATGGACCACCTAGCTACCAAATTTCTTGATGAATTATTAGGTATATTTTTTATTCTAATGGACCTCAAATCCGTGTCGACGCAGCTGTGATATATTGTTCGTTTTGAAAGTGAGAATCTTTAAAAAATTTATTTAAAAAAAATAAATCATTTTTTAAAATTAAAATGTATGAATTTTGATGAGGAATATGTCTTTAGTCTTTCAAATTACTGACATTTTTAGTTCTATATCCCTGAGTGTCACTTCTATTGGAGTTGAAAAAGGAAAACACTAATGCGCATGTGGTGGATGTCACGAATAAACATTATCATTAGTGATCATGATTAATAATAATTTTTTTTTAAATGAATAAAAATAATTTTATTATAGAAAAAAAAAAGTACCTGTGGTTCACCAATCCATCTCATTGGAGCAGAAGAAAGACCAACCTCTTGTTCATGTGAACTTGTGTGCCACAAATCACTAAGAAGCAAGTTAAACTCACCATCATAATGAAACGGCTCCGTTTGATTCTCTGGTAAATTTACTATTAAAGAACCATATAGCCCTGCTGCTCTTTGCATACCATAGTGTCCATGGTAGAAATATGTTCCAGGCTGCACCATATAATTATCCACCATTATATATTATAATATTATTCAACAAAAAAAATGCCACTTGAAACAGAAAATGTTGAGAAGAAAAAAACAAAACAAATTAATTACCCTGTCAACTTTGAATCTGTAATGAAAAGTTTCTCCTGGATTTATAGCACACTGAGATATTGCAGCAGTTCCATCAGCCCAAGGAGTATCAAGCTGCATAATTAGTAAACATAATGTTAATTAATATTCATTAAGCTACTAATTAAGAATATTTAGTGAAAGATTAAGATAATTAAATTAAATTTACCTGTCTGATTCCATGCCAGTGAATAACAGTTCCTTCTGTAAAAAGCTTATTGGTGAGTGCAATGGCAAGAGTGTCACCAACTTGAGCTGAAATAGTTGGACCTGGAAACTGACCGTTGATTCCCATCACAACATGTTCTAAACAATCTGGTTTTTTGATCATGTATTCCACATCAAAGTTGTAGTGTCTGATTCTTGCTCCATATGATAACTCCAACAGTCCCAACCAGAAACACCAAACAAAAGCAGTTTTCAACAAACTCATTGTTAATGAGCTTGCTTTTGCTCAGAGGAGATAGGAATCTGTACTAGTATCTATGAAGAAATGAAAGATGGATTGTGTGATTATATAGGAAAATTTTAGAGGTGTATTTTGATTTTAGTAACGTGGTTTAGCATAGGCTGCTATTTTTTTAGTATTATAGTAAATAGCTCGTGGTATAATGATTCTTTTAATATTAATATTTTATGGGTGCTTTAGAATAAAACACCGAAAAAGATGTTAAAAGAAATGTTTTTTTAAGAGGCACAGTATGTTTGAATGGGAAGAGTGTATTTTCTTTGACAGATCTATTATCTTTGAATCTGATAAGAAAGTTAAAGATGCAACTTTCTGATTTTTTTTATCAACTGCTACAAATTTTCGCTGTTGATTTTACAGAGGTTTAAAACCATCATTATTTAATTAAAAATAAAAAATCAAAACTAAATACTAAAATTTGATGGCATTCAAAAAATATACACTAAAATTTTTGGGAATGTTTAAAATTGTCACTAAAATGATAAAATACTAAAAAAAAATATTATGTTGCGCACCATAAGAGATCTAGTATGGTCTCTCACCTAGACCGAGCCGATAAAAAACTAGATATTTAATTTTGATTGAATATCAATACTTTTAAACAAAATTTATATATAAAAATATTAAATTAGGTTTGTTTTAAAATAAAATAAATATTTATTAATATTTGTCTAAATAAACACGATGTTTTATGTTTCAAATAATGCTTAAAATGAAATATATAGCAGTAAGTAAGATAAAAATTAGGTAATATTAACCGTAAAATATGTGTTTATAAATTGAATAATTCTCAATTTTATAAAGTTAAATTAGGTTCAATTACACATTTCTCTGTTAGATTTATACATTGGAAAAAGAGGCAAAAGTAACTATCTAGTTCAGAGAGCATTGCAAAAGAGATATATTTATGACTTTTTACATGGTTTTGAGGAAGAAGAAAATGAAGACTTTTTACACACATAAACATAAAAAATGCAAGATATACTAAAGTGAATACTTTTACGAAAGAGGCAAAAGTAACTATCTAGTTCAGAGAGCATTGCAAAAGAGATACATTTATGACTTTTTACATGCTTTTGAGGAAGAAGAAAATGAAGACTTTTTACACACATAAACATAAAAAATGCAAGATATATTAAAGTGAATACGTTTACGTTAGTTTTTGGAGGAATCAATGTAATAGATAAATAGGTTTGACATGGGTTTCTTTTATTACAGATGTAAAAATGGTAACAAAATGTAATAAATTCTACTTGCTTTTAACATTGATTCTTTGCTTTACTCATATAAAACATTGTTTTCATCGATTTCTTTGTGATAATCAATGTTTTCACTCTTGAGAGCATTTCCATATGTCTTCCTCTCTTAATTTTTATAAATCTTCTCCTTTTTCTTAATAAAAACAGAGGTGTTAATTATTACTCCATCATGTCACAATTATAAACAAAAATAAATATTTTTACATTGATTAAAAAAAGTTAGTTAAATATAACTAATTTTTTGATTTTATATACAATCAAAATAAAATTTACTATAATAATTTTAATTATATTTGATGAATCAACCATCAATATTAAATATTTACTTAATAGTAATATAAATATTAATTAGTCTAAAATTTAATGATTTATTTTGCTAATAACAGTGACTAAGATTTAAGGTATTTTTTTTAGAGTAATGCTAACTTGTACTTTAAGGGCACAAGTTAGAAACTAAATTAAGAAATATTGTCTTGAAAATTGTGTAAAAACTTTAATTAAAATATAAAATTAATTTTAAAATTGTTTTTTCTAATACAAATTTACTATAAGTGGATTTTTTAACTTGTGCCCTTAGAGTACAAGTTAACATTACCCTCTTTTTTTTTTTTTTTTTTTTTTATAATAGTGAGTGGAGGAAGTGTAATTTTGTGTATATCATTTATTAACCTTAAAGCTACAAAAATGAACGACACTTTTTTTAATTAAAAATTGAGAAAATTTTAGTCTATATTACAAAGTCATTTTTGTCTAGAGACATCGAATTTGGATTCTCGATAGTCAAGATTATGGATTCAAGTGCAATTAAGTAAAAAATGGTCAAGAGAGAGATACAATTAAAAGATGTAGTGACAAACATAACCTTTAAAATGCACTAACTACAACTAATAGTGTCATTCGTAAATACAAGAGATTCCAATTCAGAGATATCTCTCTCAATCTAAAACTTGTTTGTCATTCATTTATGCTCGTTTTTTATGTTGAATTTATTTTTAAACTTGTGATCTGTTAATTTGTATATTGATTTTGAGTTTTTTTTTGTTGGTGCTGAGTTGTGAGACTATATTGGGGTTACTTTGTTAATTTCTTTATCGATTTTGAATAGCGAGATGACACTACGCCAAAATTGGTTTTTTGTATCGCCTACTTTAATAGCGCTTTTGAAATAAGCGCTATTAAAAAAGAAACAAACATATTTATAATAGCGCTTTATAGTAAAGCGCTATTAAAGAGTACAGAGAATATGATTTTGATAGCACTTTGTATAAAAGCGCTATTATAGATATTCACTAAGATAACGCTTTTCTAAAAAGCGCTATTAAAATGTTGTATTACAATAGCGCTTTTATAAAAGCGCTATTATTAAAAGCACTACGATAACGCTTTTTAAAAAGCGCTATTAAAATATGTAACTACAATAACGCTTTCTATGGAACCGCTATCGTTTCTATCATGGTGTTTTAAGATAGCGCTTTTTTAAAAAGCGCTATTAAAATAATAGACTAGATTAAATTAATTAAAATATATTTATAATAGCCCAAATGTTTTTCGTTTTCTCCCACGCAAAAGTCTTTCTCCCACGCAAAGCAAAATTCGTTCACCACCGCAAAATTCATCAGGTCACCACCGCAAGATTCTTTCTCCCACGTAAAATTCTTTCTCCCACGCAAAATTCATCAGCTCACCACCGTCATCCTTCTCCGTCGAAAGGAGCCGTCGTCATCAGCTCATCCTTCTCCGTCGAAAGGAGCCGCCGTCATCAGCTCACCACCGTCACCCTTCTCTTCATTGATATCCGATAATCTTTCTTTTTCTCAGATTATTGCTTTGTGTTAAATTGTAAAATTAGGGATTTGAATGCTTTGTGTTGTAATTTGTGTTAGTAATTTGAATGCTTTACGCCATGGCTTTCTCTTCAAACCCCAATCCCCAACAACACCAACGAATCGTTGTTGGAAGTTTCATCGAAGAATACACTAACCGCGTCGATATCCTCTCTTTCAACCCCGATACTCTCTCCATTAAACCTCAACCTTCACTTTCATTCGATCACCCTTATCCACCTACCAAACTCATGTTCCACCCCGCAACCCATTCACCCCTTCAGAAAACATCCTCCGACCTCCTCGCTACCTCCGGCGACTATCTCCGCCTCCGGCGACCTCATCTTCCTCTGTTTTTCACTTTTTGACCGCGCGTGGGTTTTTAGGGGAAAGATATGAGAGTTTTGTGGATATCCTCAGTGTTGCTTTTTCCACAATCTGTACCTACAACATCAATTAGCTTGCTAAATATATTGAATGTTACTTGCTGTTCATTTTCTGTTGAGTTCAAATGTACAATAATTCACTGAACCAGTTTCAGTTGGTGCTCTTCTTTAATGTTTTATGTTATGGCAAATACTTTGTATACTTTCAAATCATTTTGACAAAATGTTTTATGTTATGGCATAAAGTTGTATACTTTTAGATCATTGAGTTACTTGTTGAGAAAATGTTATAGCATTGCATACTCTAATTACATACAATTCCATACAATTCCATACAATTGCATATTTCAGAATGCTGCTTTTGGGGTTTTGGCCTTGTAATTACTTAGAGTAGTCCACTTGGAGGTGACTCAATAATTCAACACAATTCTAACCCCATCCTACATCCAACACATAACTAACATTTCCCTAACTAACTAGTTCAAGTTGCTAACTGACTCGCTCCATCTAATAGAATTAACCATTCAACAAACTCATAAACAAACCAAGCTCCATTTAGCACAAAAAAGTGACATGGCTGCACATTACAAAAACCTTAGCCTTGGAAGTGAACATGACCTTAGTCATGATGACTCAGCTGAGAATTCTGCTGCCATCTTCTCTCAAATGTTTAACCCGAAAGGGCGATGATCGATGGCGACGAATAAACTATTAGGATGATGATTGTTTCTATTGTAGAAAAGAGCTTCTTGCTTGATTGAAGGTAGAGAATTCTAGAGTACATTGCTAACTTTGAGGATTGAATTTAGAGTATGCAATGCTTAAACAGACTATGGAATTGTATGTAATTAATTGTCTGAAGAACCTTTTTGTATAAGAAGGCAGTAACTTTGATGGAGAGAGTGACGAAGGAATGATGAAATGTGTAGTGAAACTGATATGGAAGAGTGGTGATTATTCTTAATGATTGGTGATGATTGCTACTTATAGAATGAGAGGGAATGGATCGAGAGGGAGAGTTTGTTATGATGGCTTTGAGGCAGTTAGGATTAACTCACTGAGTTAACTCTCCTAACTTAGTTAGTTAGGTCGTTGACTCTGTTAGTCGTGTTGGTAATTGATTAGTGACTCGAGGTTTCAAGTTGTGTTGCAGTTGGTCATCATGTGAAGTTAGTTAGCTTGAAGGTGAGTTGAAGGTAGTTAAAAAGGGTCAGTTAGGATTCTGTTAGCAAATGGATTTGAGTTGGTTAGTTATAAAACTGTTATGAATGGTTACAAAACTAGTTTATGCTAAATGTTGAGAGAAATTAGAGATCCAGCTTGTGCTAACTGTTAATGGTGAATTGATAACAAACTATGTTAGTATGTTAGGTTATGCTAACTATTGTGGAAATTAGTTTGAAGTTTTCTTTGGCTCGACATGAGGAACTAGCTGACTGATGTCGATGTTGATGAATGGTAGGCAATGAACTCTTATGGCTGTTATATTAGGATTG